AGTGCCTGGAAATTTTTGTTCCTACGAGTGGATTATGAGTGGTAAACATATTATTTCACTTTTCTCAGAAGATTCAGGATAATTTGATTACTATATTGTCGAACATATGTCAACTTCTAATACCGGTAAATCATGTTTAACAAGTGCTTGTTTTTTTAATCAGCACGCCACGCCTAATTTACCCTAATACCTTGCCGTTAACCATGGGGTTGTCACACATACACAACTTACATTGAAGATTAGGAGACACGTCCTCAGCGTGTTTTAAAAAAGACTCATACCGGTAAATCATATTTAACAAGTGCTTGTTTTTCTAATCAGCACGCCACGCCTAATTTACCCTAATACCTTGCCGTTAACCATGGGGCTGTTACACGTACACAACTTACATTGAAGATTAGGAGACATGTCCTCAGCATGTTTTAAAAAGACACTAATGTCTAAATCTACATTGTTACGTCTTTTGTTCTGTTATTTAAAGTTAACATCTAATTTTTGGTTTCGTTTTGATTTCAACAATCTACACACAACAAGTTTTATGTTCATGTTTAACTCAAACTAACAATTAAACCCAAAGACTATATAATGTGAAATAGATTATTCGACACTTTGAACAGACATATAAAACCCAACAGCTAAGAAATATTCACGAAATCAAGGCTGAGAAAACGTATCGTGTTTGAAATCGGGTTTTGTAGTCTCATATATAGTCTTGGAGGTTTCGGTTTACAAGGATACTATAAAAAGAACAGCTTTGAAAAAACAATCGTTTCATCCAGGTACAAGTAGCTGCGCTGTGAAACGAACAGCCGTTTCAAATATCGGAACAGAAACTTCCGGAAATACTTCCGTGATTTAATCTAACTTCCGACATATACGGAAAACCTATTTATTACAACGGATTGCAACCGTTAGTGATATGTATCAAGCTCTAACAAAGTAATCCTAGACGGGGATGTTTTTTGTTGCACACCGTTTGGTATGTATATATGTTACATCATATGTATGCATGTACGCACGTATCTTTATATGTACATGTTTGAGAATAGCACTTTTCCTACGTTTTAGGTGATTATCGGGGACTTAACTTTCTACCATCTGATTTCCTGTCCCAAGTAATTTTTGTTCAAGCATGATGTCCATGGTTTCCGCGTTGTTTGGGCCACTAATACATTTAACAAGTGAAACCGAATATTCCCCAAACATCTGTAGGAACTTATCTCGGGTAAATGAAAAGAAGTCCTAAACCAAGCTTTTCTAGCAAAGCTTCATCAGTTGGTCCTGACTGGATATTACTTTACCCATCTTTCAAGTGTTATATCTCTCTGTTGCACAGTCTTTGTTATCACTGATCGGTCTCTTAACTATTTTATTTCTGTCACAAATACTTATCTACTTCTGCTACTATTGTTCAGCTTATTGTTTTATATTCCGTTACGATTGGACAGCTCATTACTATATTCTTTGCTACTAATGGTCACCTCATAACTGCGTATTCTATGAAACATTTAGTGTCCCATATAAAAGCAAGGCCTTATTTCTGCTGAATCTATCCAGCACCGTAATTATCTACGTCTGTATCAGTAGAATAATGTAAAACAAGAAACCTGACCAGCATTATAATTACTTACGTCTGTATAAGTAGAATGATGTAAAATGGCTGGTAAATGATTGCCAATTATTCAGAGGTTTTATGACTGTTTATTGTGAGAACTAATAGGAAATAATGTAATTACATTTTATTTTTATTCGAGTCAAAATTGAATTAAAGATCAGGTATATCTAATATTTTTGGAAAGCGGACGTATACTTTAAGCCTCATTTGAACCATACTTGATCGTACACCCTAACTATTACGTTTTTTATAATTATATGTTCGTATTATCTATGTACGTATCGTTCTTTTCCGGGGAAAGTTTAATGACAAAAACATCGATCCTATCGTTTTGCTTTCACTGTATCCTTAGTATATTCATAGTTGTGATAAAAGTTTGGATAAACGACCTTTACTACCTACGTTTCGCTTTTACAGCTTCTTCAGGGTTAATACAATATCTTCAATATCAAACAGTTTGTATGTATTAACCCTGAAGAAGCTGTAAAAGCGAAACGTAGGTAGTAAATAAAAACAAATATATATATATACATCTGGAATGTAAAGGTCATTTATCTAAACTTTTATCACAATGTGTAAATCCCTCCTGTATCCACTACAAACTTTGAAAGAAAATATTTATGGTTGTTAGTTTGACCAAGATTCTTTCCTACTGGGTTTCTTAATTTCGAAACAAGAATCTAAAGAAAGATTACATACAGAGAAAGAAAACTGCGTTATCCACTGCTTTTTGAGCCAACGAAATAACTGTCAGCTATTTACATTAAAATGCTTTTATCATCTTACTAAGTCTTGAAATTGCAGTTTCTACTACACTGAACTTAAATGTTGTGAAAAACGTGTAACAAAAAGATACACAGACACATGCAACAAAGTTAATCTTTCTTGTTTAAATAACACCTCCGTTATAAACGATTTGGCATATTTTATACATTGTTTTTTCTAAGTCTACATAATACAACGATCAACTTTACGCAGGAGCTCATCTTGAAGATCACATCCCAAGACAGGCTTAGCTTATCTTAACATTTTTGAACATTTGCAGAAGCTAAATAGACTGTGTTTAAAGTATATTATTAACAGCATTAGAACACCATATTATTATTATTTTGGAGGGATTCTATAGTGTGATTATGTATGTATAATTAGACAGCTCCTTCAGCACTGATAAAAAAAATCTGTAAATATAACACATTTACAAGTTCCTAGGCTTTCGCTAAAATCAAAGGTCTCCCAACTAGGGGGCGTTGAAAAGAATAACTTAGTATACACTATATATATATATATATGTGTATATAACAATTGGTTTTATAAATATTTTCATTTGAAAGGAAGATAAGAAATAAAAATTTGTTTTAAAAACATGAAATTGATTTAACCTGCGGAAATACGTTTTCTAAAGAAGTTAAATTTCTCTTTGAGTCGAAACTCAAATTTCTGTTTAAAAAATTGAAAATCTAGACACAATGGTACAATAAACATTACTTTTTTACTTTGAAACTCTTGGTGATATTCATTTATTTTTAGTTTAATATTAGTGTAGCTTACATGTACGCTAATGGGCATTAATCCAGCAGTTACAAGTATGATAACATCAGCTCTGAGACAACCCTCTGAGTTTATTCAAATCAGGAAACCGGTAACCTTCTCGAGCTCTCATTTGCACATAAAATGAATATCTATTTTATTTAAATGTAGTGCTTGTATAAAAATTAAAATAAAATCCCCAAAGGAGAAAGACAGAATCTGAGAAAAACATAAGACAATGTATGTATGAAACCCGAAGAACAGAAAAGAAAACAGAGAAGACAATACATTAAACCTGAGGAAGAGAGAGAGAGAGGTTAAAAAAAAGACAATGTATGAAATCTGAAGAGCACAGAAATCCGATTCTTCTTTCTAGTTTTTACATACTCTTTTTTGGAAATGTATTCCCTAGACTTGCCTTTACCGTTCATCTTAATAAAAAATGTTTGTTTTGTATTGAACATTGGCGTTCATATTACTCTGTACTTTCTCAAGTGTGTGTGTGTGTGTTTTTTTCTAGCCCATTTTCATACTCAATTTATCTAATTCGAAAGTTGTCGTTTCTTCGTGATCATGTTGTTGCTATGGTGATCAAAAATCGTGAAAGATCTTAGTGATTTCTAAGCAAACCTTCAAAAGAACTAACACTGGCACCATAGAAATTATTAAACTACTGTTTGGACAGCACTGGAGAGAGAAGTGTGGATTCAAGCTTTTGTCAGTCTAGAATATAGAAGGGTTTTCCAAAATAAAGTCACAAAAACGCTTTACAACATACAAACAAATCACAAAATTGTGTCCATAGTAATAGCGCACGATAAACCTGAAATGAACTGTCTTTTATAAGCCCAGAAAATATTTCAATTTTCAAACGTTTAACAACACTATAGAAACAAGTTTGTAATACAAAGGGATATAAACATATTTATAAGTCTAGTTAGGTTCAAGTTAAGTTATCATTCCGTACTAGTTATGTTTTCCACATCGGGTTTATTAAAATATGCAATTCAAACCTATTCCTTCCTAATAATATCAAGCTTTCTTCCTCTTCGTTTTGGCCTCGTATGATGATATCTAACTGTATTTTCAGTTACATACTTTAAACTTTATTTAATAAACAATAGGAACTGTTTGAATTAATTCAGATAATATAATCATGTTCCATTAACATACTTATAGAAAGCTGTAGACACAACGACTGATAATGATAATCACATTAAAATGGAGAAAAAAAACAATACAGATTACATAGATTAACACTAAGTTTCACAATTCTAATTGTAAACTAATATATCCGTTACTTCAATAACGTCCCCTAATTGACCAATCACATTATAATAGCCAATAAATATTAAAAACTCTCCTAACTAACCTGTGTTATGCCTCCTAGTCTGTCAGGAGTACAAAGACTTGTGGAAGTTTAAGTTACAAAATATAATTATACTAGAATAATTGTTTCTCAGAATGGCTGGATATAATCATCTGGAGATCGATCTTCATAAACACGTATTTTATGACATCTTCACAGTTAGATACCCTAAACATTAACCACTTTTTTTATCTTCTATTATGACAAACATTCCACAAAAAACATCATTCATTCGTAGGTTATTATTTTGGGTGAGCCCAAATGAAGAACAAATGAGGTTCATTGTTTCTGAAGAAATGGGTCGAATTTTACTTTGAGTTCTACTGAAATTAAACTATAATTTCAGGATTTCTTTTTTTTTATGTTTGATGGAAATCACCTCGGAGAAGCCGATAAAATGTCTTTTTAAATTGCTGGTTTGCCATTGCGTAGCAGAATGGATTAACCGGGCTGTTAGCGTAGCACAGAAAGTACGTGAAATAGAACAAGTGGTAATTGACACATCCGGCAATATCCGTACAAAACCCTTCTACCAGTGCACATATGTGATATGGTGTCCAACACAACACAAAGGCGCCTAAAATGAAAGATATTGTCCTTAATGCTTTTTTTGCACGATTTTCGGATTTCGATTTTTGCCTTTTTTCTTTGATATTATATTTTCCTTTCTTACGTTTCTTTGCTAAGGAGTTTACGAAAGCTTGTTTGAAGCGAGTAGTCGAGTTGTCTTTATTAGAAGAACTTCCAGCTAAAGATTGGTCATGAGCTATGATTGGTTGCAGCTCATCAAGTTTAGCGACGCGTGTCACTGTTTTGGAATCACATACATGTTCATCTTTCATGCTCACAACGCTATTTTTCTTTAAGAATTGTTGAGCATGAGCAACAGAAAAGTCATAAAAAACTATTGGATCTGTGTTGACTGCTTTGTCTTTTGTACGAGGTTCAGGAGTGCCCTCTATTGGTGGCGGAGTCACTGAAGATGCTGCTTCACTAGCTGGAGAAGGCATAACGACTGAACTCTCTTGGTCAATAAATTTCATATCATTGGTTTCTAAATGCTCCAATGGCTGTTCTTCCTTTACAGAAGCCAAATTTAATGTTTTAGGAGGATTTGGTCTATCATTGCTTCGGTCGTTTGATGAAATGGAATTCAATAATAAAACGTTTTCTGTCGGTGTTGTTACTTCTGAAGCCCAAGAAGACAGCTCATTCGTAGGACTCATGATATTATCAGTATCTAAAAGACTTTGTTTTTTCGACGAATCCTTCACAGAATCTAAGGGAAGTTGTCTTGATGGAGCCGAAGGTGGTGGAACTAGTTTAGGGATAGGTTCATCTGAAACTGAGGATATGGTCAAGTCTGTATTTTTAGCAATGTTCAGTGCAACAGCCATGACAGAGTGCTTACATTTGACCTTCTTCTCTGGCTTTGATGGTTTTTGATAACTTTCTTCGTCAGAGTCAAACATTGGACTGCTGGACCGGTCTGGGTCAGAAGCATCCTTTTTGTCTGAAAAACTAGTAGTTTCTGTATTACCAGTCTTATTTGATGAGGTTTTATGACTAGATGACGAGTCTCCAGTACCATGTTTTGTGGCATGAAGATTTGGAGGATTCAAGTGACTAGAAGCCACAGAAGTTATATTTCCTGACTGAACAGGCTTAGGTTTGTCGAGACTTAATAAAGTACTCTGTGTCTTGGACATACCAATTGGTTTATTCTCGTTTTGTGCTTTTCCCATGGCCACAAGGCTTTGCATTTTCTTCTGCTTTTCTGCTGATCTTTTCTGCATGTCACTAGCTGTCTTGTATATTCCACCATAAAGAACGAAGAGCACTACTAACGTGGCATAGAAGTAACCGAAGATGAGAGACGTGTTGAAGACAGGATCTTTGAGGAATTGAACTGCACACTCTCCAGGGTTTAGGTCTCTGTAGCCAATAAAATGCTCCCATCCCATGATGCTGATAAAGAAGACTAAAAAAGGGATAATCCAAGTGATTGCTACCATAAATATTACCTTGTTTCTAGTACGCCAATTTCGGTATTTAGCGGCTATCTTAACAGAGCAGTACCTGTCAATAGTGATGAGAAGCACTGTGTAAATAGACACCAAACAGACAGTGTGGTCCGTAGCTAGCCAGAGGTCACAAGGAATAGGTCCAAGGTCCCATCGCCCTACCAGAACATACACAGCGTAGAAGGGCATTGACACTATTCCGATTAAAAGGTCGGACATCGCTAAAGATACAATAAAATAGTTACTTGGTTGTCGAATGGCTCTTTCCACAGCAAAGGCCATTAATACCAAGATGTTGCCAGCAACTGTAAGTATTATACACAGACCAATGGAAATGGCTATAAATATTGTTAGCCATAAAGCATATGGTGAGACGTAAGCATCTGAAGAAGATGTGGTTGTGTTGGTGACGTTAACATAGGAAACTGTATTGTTACCATCAGTTTGGTTGTAGCAGCAGACTGTCAGTTCATCCTGAAACTCTTCACTAACCTCCTCTAAAAACCCTTCTATTTCTGACCACGTGGAAAAAGTGCTGGTCAGCATGTTGGAAACGGAAGAAAAGTTTGTAACTACAGACAAACTAGTGCTAGTGGTCCTGACTGTAACCTGGCTTTTGTCTTCTGCTGCAAAGTTTGTCAGAGAAAAGCCAAGATCAGTTCCAGCTTGGGTTTCTGACACAAGTTCACCAATAGTCGGATAGATGGGCATGGTTATCTTCAACTGTCAGTCTCTCTTCAAAGTCCGAGTACAATAAAAGTTCGAATTACATCTTGTTTTCACGGTGACAAAGACATTTTAATCTGTAACATAAAATAAATATAATGAAAACATTAGGATATTTCATATTCTAATATAGGCGAGTATCTCAACTTAATATAAATATACCAAAGTTGGTTCATGTAGGCCAAGTCAAAAGAGAGCTATGAGATTCGACTCGTTAAGGTTATTCGACTCCTGTTACTCCTGGTAAATAAAATAGATAAACTAAACTTTTCTGATGTGTCAAATCTTGAAAAAGAATGTAGATACTGTACACATGCACATTATACGGCACTCTTTGTGGTTAAAATAGAATTCAAATTTGGAATTTAGAGCTTGCACAGCACCTTTACGTGTAAATGGGTTAAATGGCCAGATAATAAACCCCTAAGGCTCAGAATCAAATAACGGAATTAACCTTCACTTACAAGACGACCACAGCAGAAAGCATACAGTATGATTAGCAGTATCACGGCTTTATCATAGAACTTTACGATCTGCAACCCGACACGTTAACCACTATATTATTACCAGCTAAAACTGAAATCAGTTGCTTCCACTATTAGTATTCCTAATTTTGATGTTTTTAATCCAAAAAGACCCCTTCATCCTTTCGGATTTGGGAAGTATGTTGATCAGAATTTATGTTTTCACCATTATTGTTTTAATTGTTTGTTTGTTTTTTATATAGATAAGTAAATAAGTCAACTTTATCAAACTACCTTAAAGAAAGTAAAACAAATTGGAGGTTTATTTGATCAATCACCAGGTATAGCAAGGTGGTTAGGGCGCTTGACTCGCGATTTGCGGGTTCGAATCCACGTCCCACCAAACACGTTTGCTCTTTCAGTCGTGGGGGGGGGGTATAAAGTGACAGTCAATCTCACTATTCGTTGGTAAGAGAGTAGCCCAAGAGTTGGCGGTGGGTGGTGTAGACTAGCTGCCTTCTCTCTAATCTTTCACCGCTAAATTAGAGATGATTAGCGCAAAAAGCCCCCGTGTAGCTTTGCGCGAAATTCAAATACAAACCAAATACTTGATCAGGCCCACGATAGAACCGTGGCGTCAACTGTTGAATCAATAGTATTTTTCTAAATGTATCGTTAAATAGTTCTGTGGTAATAAGATTTGCCCTCAGTCTCATCTAGTAACTCATTCGAATATAATTTGCTATATTTCACGTTTTTGGTACAAAATCATTTTAAAGATTATATTTCATTCATTCATTTGTTTAGCAGTGAAAAATTAGAGGGAAGGCAGCAGGTCAGCACCCCACACCCACCATAAACACTTAGACTACTCTTTGCTAACAAACAATGGGATTGACCCTCACATTTTAACATCCATGCAGGTAAATTGGCGACTATTTGGACCTGCGACACGCAGCTTGCAAATCGAGTGTCCTAACCATCAGGTCATGCCAGGCTTCGATCAATTAATAAAAGTGTCTTTGATATTTTGCAATTAATGTAACTAAACGTTTCCAAACTTAGCGATTCCATAAGTATACGTAAAATCAAAAATGGATAAGTCGAAAACATCGTACAATGATTAATAACAACGTTTGTATTGTGGTGCTTCATGTCTAAAATATGGTTGGAAAACGAACTCGTCTTCTGGATGATTTGAGAGATATTAGACACATTTTCGAATTATTAGTGAGACATTCCACACCATATTAATAAGCCATCTTTTCACTATGTAAAAGAGAGTTAAATGCGATGATTTGTTCGTTTGTAACTAAGCACAAGGCTACACAATGGGCTATCTATACTGTGCCCACTACGGATATTAATACTCGGTTTCTAGCGTTATAAGTCCACGAACTGGCTTAATTTAAGACTGAAGATGTCAGTGATTTATGGTATTTCCAAACAGATTACATCCTCTTTTAATCAGAGTTAAAAATAATTGGTTCATCTATGTGTGATTGTTTCCTCTTAAACTATCTCTGTCATTAGCTAAAATCCAAATCACAGGAACGATATACTTGCCTAGTTTTCGTCCAATCGGAAATCTTGAAAGTAATCAGGGGAAGGGGACATTCACAATCAGAGAACTCTGTTCTGTACATGCAACGTATTCTATTGTCCGCATTATTCTTTGTAACGACGAAATTGAAATTTCCAGCTGTGGAAGAAGAAAAACACATGATACAATAGAGTTTTTAAGAAACAAAAAACAAACAGATGTTTGTTAAGCTATTTTTAAATTGATCATCATTGGATATACATAAGTTTTATATGAAAAATTATGAAATTTGTATGTCCGTTACGAAAGGATGTGAACAGTCCTAACAAGTTCTTTGGTTCTTTATGGACAATGCATTTCAATATAATGAAATCAGCTAACCACTAAGAACATTTCTATGAAGACTATTACATCAACTTTTATTATAACGCAGCCTTACTAGTAATACAGGAAGCTTGAGAGAAATAAGAGATATTACTGTCCCTTCCTAATTGGGTAGACTATCGGGTTACTTGTGTTTGATTAGCTCATTTCATCCACCCTACAGGGGAGCTCTAGAATTTTTCCGAAAGAGTGAAACCTGAGACCGGATTGGATTCGACTCAAATAGCACATCCACAGCTTCGAATCCCAATAGTCTTTGTTTCCAGTTCGTCTGGGAAAATAACTGTTACACGGCAAGTTTCTAATACATACAGACTCCACGGTAGTTCAATACCAGACAGGATAGTATAACCACAATTATATTGAAGCTGATTTTAACTGAAAGCAGTGGCTATATTAACGAGATGTTAACCAATCTAAATGTAGATTTTTCTTTAACTGTTATTTTCTTTCTTTCTTTTTTTTTCTCTTTTCAACGAAGAAATACATAAGATGTAGTTTCGCAAGTGTTTTTATTTAAATATCAAACATTTAGAAGTGAAACATATTTTATCTATTCGGATTGTCAAAACTTGCATGTTTTCCAGCGACATCTGTTTCTTCTATAAAATTTCAGCGAGCCTTGTTTTGGAAAACTGTTTTGTGCGTTTAACACTTATCGCGCTTTTAAGTATAAAAGCTACGGCTCTGTAAACAGCAAATTTTTGCATTGTGAATCCCATCCCATCTTGTAATTGCTTTTTTTCCCCTGCATGTTTTAAATGGTCCATTCCTGTCTGCCTCTTCTCCCCTACGGTGATCATCCTTTTCCAAGAATACACAACACGCTCGAGCGCACGCCGGAGTGGGTTTTATTCACGATGTCAATCTGTGCTTCACGGTTCACTGAGTGCTCCAGACACGTGTCAGAAGTTTGCTGTCAGAGAGATGTGCGCCTAAGCGCGAACAAGAAGCACGTGCTATGGCTAGTGAGGTCACCAAACACGTCATCAACCGTAGTCGGATATACTTATCTATATCACATTCGAATCAACAAAAACAACACACAATATAAATTAACGTTTCAACCACCGATTTCTCTTTAGAAGCTTAATTCTTGGTAGTCTTAAACTTTATTTGTTTTACTCTCCTATAGATTCTGTGGCTGTAATAGTAAGCTACTCATGAAATATATTTCTGTGTTGTGCAGAGTTGAGCCTTTTCCCCACCACTTTTAACATAACACACAGTAACTATGGTCATCTAAAATCAAACAAGTTGATAAACACCAAATATTAATACTGAAACACACAGTTTAATGTTGATGATCTTTTCGCTCACTTTTTGTTCTATTTGGGGTAAAATTAAGCGGTCATTTGGGTGTTGGCCTGAGGTTCATGATTTACACAATAGTTACTTCTTTGTTCATAGAATTCAGACAAAATATAATCACCAAGACTAGTGACTGTTTGGGAATGTTTAAAGTTATTTGCTAAAAAAGTTTTTTGCTGGTCAGCTAATAAAATACATTAATTAAGAAAACACACGCTATAACTACTTCTGCATGGACTAATTCTTAGAAAATGCACACTATAACTACTTCAGCATGAACCAAGTCTTAGAAAATACACACTATAACTACTTCTGTATGGACTAATTCTCAGAAAATACACACTATAACTACTTCTGCATGGACTAATTCTTAAGAAATACACACTATAACTGCTTTTGCATGGACTAATTCTTAGAAAATACACACTATAACTGCTTCTGCATGGACTAATTCTTAGAAAATACACACTATAACTACTTCTGAATGGACTAATTCTTAGAAAATACACCCTATAACTACTTCTGCATGGATTAATTCTTAGAAAATACAAACTATAACTACTTCTGCATGGACTAATTCTTAGAAAATACACACTATAACTGCTTCTGCATGGACTAATTCTCAGAAAATACACACTATAACTACTCCTGCATGGACTAATTCTTAGAAAATACACACTATAACTGCTTCTGCATGGACTAATTCTTATTGCAATCTGGCTTTGTTTTGGTCTCTGCTGATTGTTATTTCTCGTTTAATGCGCGTTATAGTGAACCGAAAAATATATAGTACAGGAGAGTGGAGTGTGGAAATAGTGACGAAGCACATATTTTTGTTTTCTTTTAAATAGACTATTATTAGATTACACTTTTCATTAGTCGTTTGTCATGGTCTCTGGATTGATCAGAACATCAACAGTAAGTAGACTGTACTTGGAGTTAGCCATTACTTTTGATTTTGGTGTTCACCCGTAAGTAGTCTGTATCTGAAGCTACTCATTAGTCACGGTTTCCGTGTTCACCAGTAAGTAGTCTGTATCTGGAGCTACTCACCAGTCACGGTTTCCGTGTTCACCAGTTAAGTAGTCTGTATCTGGAGCTACTCATTAGTCACGGTTTCCGTGTTCACCAGTAAGTAGTCTGTATCTGGAGCTACTCATTAGTCACGGTTTCCGTGTTCACCAGTAAGTAGTCTGTATCTGGAGCTACTCATCAGTCACGGTTTCCGTGTTCACCAGTAAGTAGTCTATATCTGGAGCTACTCATCAGTCACGGTTTCCGTG